GGTGTTTGTAGATTTATAGAAAGAGAGAATATTTGGTTTGACGAACGCACCTCTATAAATCAACGCTGTCATATTCAAGGGAGGAGGAAAGAGAAAGGAAGCAATAAAATCTCCCTTCTCATCCGTTATACTCGTCTCAGGTGCTGTGAAACCGCTTGAGGTCCGGAGGTCAAACGCATCGCAAGCTGTTTAATTCTATTTTATACAAATACTTTGAATCCCAGACCATCTGGGGAAATGCGGCCGTGGGCGGTGAATAATAAAACTCCCTTTCCCTAAACTTAACTCAGGTCGAGGTGCCTTTTAACACAGAACGTCAGGTTGCTCATCGGTCAGCAACACCAAAGTGAAAAGGTCTGAAGTTTCAATGGAGAAAGGTCCAGACTGACGTTAACTAGATTCTGAGTTTGTTTAAAAAGACAAATTAAATGCATGAGGAATCCTTCAGAAGAATAAATAAACCAGCACTTTCTCCAAGTCACCGTGTTTGCAGGGTTTATGAGTTGTGACTAACGGCTTTTAATGGTTAAACCTGATTTTATAACGGCTTATAGATCGGTTGTGAGGCATTATGCTCAACTTTGGGGTTGCCAGGTCGTGAAGAATCCCTTTGACTGGTGTTTATTCTGCTCCAACACTCTTTAAAAGCTCATCAGGTCTGCAGTTACAAATGTTAAGTCAATAATAAAGGCTCATGAGTTCCTCTCACTGCTAATAAGCCTGTTTGCAGCTATAGACGATCAATAAAGCTTTATAACCATAATTTGAAGTTAATAAATCATTTTGGATCCATGCTGGAGGAGAATAAACACCAGCTGAAGGGATTGTACACAACCTAGCAACCAATTAGCTCTTATTAATGACTGATAACTGATTTATAAAGCATTATTTAACCATTACAATTGATAAATGCTTTATAAAGGGTGCCAATAATTTATTGTTGAGTATTTATTACCCTGACATTATTTTAACTCCTGCTTAATGACGTTTTATTCATTGGAATCAAAGTATACAAATAAAATACTGTTTTAATGAACATTTAATTTGTGTTATCATCCCTCCCCTGCAGCTCAGCTGAGAAACAATAACTCTGGACTTGTACATTTGTTCTTTGAAGCCTCAAATGAATGTATTTTTCTCCATGTCTGACTATAGTAGCAGGTTAAGAAGAGATCTGTTAATGGTTTCAGTGCATGTACATGTAGTACAAGTAGCTATTGTTTTAAAACAGAAATAAATATGTTATATACGAGTCCTTTCAGGTTTTAATTGATCAAACAAGAAGCCAACGCAAACTTCTCAAACACCCACCTCGATCGAGCGTGTGGGAATTTAACAGACGTGAAAGGTGACAACACTTCATTAAAACAGGGACCGCCGCAGGAACGAAAGGTGAACAGGATCAACCTCTCAGCTCTTTATACATCCGGTTGTTGCAACAGACGTCTGTAGGAGGCTTACGAGGCGGTGCGGCCATAGTAACAGACATCTAGAGCTTTCTACACATCTAGTCTGCGAGTCCCACATCACTCTGGATCCCTCAAGTATCACCTGGGAGGGGTTCCAGGCTGTGTTTGACTATAGTTGCACTCGGAGTTCAGATTTTGCTTTGGACAGCATTTGATGACAAGAACTCACTGCTGTGTTTTCCATCAAACATTGAGGGTTGTACATCTGTTTTCTCTCTCTTTCTTACATTTTCTGTTAAGGTTGGAGAAAGTGGCTGCTGACACTGCAACAACAGTTCCCAGACAGTTACTCCTGACAATCTTCCTCATACTGTCACATGTAACTGGAAAATCAACCTTCATAGTGTGAACCCACAGCAGCCCTTTTCGGTGATAGTTCTGTGTAACAATCCAGCACAGTCAGGTTCCCAAACAACCATCCGCTAAGATTTAGTCCAAACCCAATATGACAAGTTCTGTCAACTCAATTTTAAAAACCATTCAGAACTGGTTCAGTTAACTTCCTCTCTTTATTTAGGCAGCTGAAATGCACTTGAGATACATGTTGACAAACACCAGAACTACTACCTTCTTTGTGTTTGCCTCCGCCTGTATCACTTCATTAAAACTGGGACAGACTTATTGCTTTAAGACCCTTTAACGCAGGTCTTACTCTACCTTCTTGCCTTGAGATGCACACTTTCACCCCCAAGAATCAGCTCCTCTTACATCTCCAAAAACAACTTTGTGCATTGACAGTTTTTTCCTCCTCTTTCTACCTTTTTTTGGAACAAGCAATTACAGGCGAAGATCCAAATATGATCAAGTCAGAGGCACCGTAAACGCAATCTCTCTCCGGGAGTTAGTCTCCGCTCGGCTCATTTATTTTCCAGCTCTTATCGACTTTGCTCTTTTTCCTCCACTGAGAAGCAGAATTTACATTTAAATGTCATCCCCTTATCCTACCCAATTTGTGTTTGCTTCAATGAATAAAGAGCCACAGGTAAACAGCCACAGTTTTTTCCTGACTCGCCTTTTTTCAGGCTCTGAGAAGGAGAAATTTTATGTTTTTCTAAATTTTCATTTATTTAACTGAAAAGGTTTTTTTTTTTTTTTTTTTTTTTTACTGCAATGCAGCAGTAACAGCAGATTCTTCAGCTGCCATCCTTTTCTACATCAGTGCCCTCGCTCAGTCCCGAAACACCTTGATGTCAGCAAAATGTGCGTTACAGAAAAAACCTGTGAGAACTACACAGGATTGTTTCTTTGATCTTGTGACGTACATTCATTCGCTTCTCTACTTCCTTTTTCCTGCAGGTCAAGTCCGTAAATAAAAAAGGATAGATGTGAGCACTGGACACAAAGAGAGGGATAACATTTACCTGACACACGGCTCTTGTAGATCTCTTATATAAAGATCCATAGTGAGACTTGTTACATATTGTGAATGTTATTTATTTCCTTGTGTAGCTATTGGAAAGACTTTAAAACTATTTTTTCTGGGCCAAATACGTCGTTATCAATCCAACGCTCATGATAAGTCACCAGCAGGCTGAGGAAGGGTCCTTCCTGAAATACTGGTGCATATTAAAATCATTTTTCTATACAAGTCACTGTGAAAACTTCTATACGTGTATCTAGTAACTGCTCGCCTACTTCCCATTGCAGCATTTATATTGCAGGACATACAGCATCCTCCTATAAAACAGGTCTAGAAATAGCAGAAGTCTGTCTCCCTCAGGCCAAAAACTGGACCAGGGAACTGAGGCAGACACAGACTTTAAGAAGGAGAATTAAACGTCTACATTTTAGAGAACGCCACAGGTTTGTTTATGAAACTATTGATACAAAACAAAAAGATAAATGGGGAATCAGAAGTGAAGTCAAGACGGTCAAATTAAGAGATGGGAACTGAAGTGAGACCTCACCTCTCTGGTTTTAGACCCTGAATATCTGCAGTGTTTTAGTTTTCCTTAAAGAACAGGGATGTTCAGCAACTGTCTGCACTGACCACAGATCACAGAGAGCCTAATAACCCACAGGTAACCAGCCACCTCCACCATTTACATGTCCTTACCTGGATACAGACACACGTCACGCAACAAAACCCTTAAATACATCACACCATAGTCTGTGACTGAAGTGTATTATTCACCGCCAACCAGCAGCCAACTTCTCACTTCAGGGAGACATTAAAAGACAAAAGGCAACAAAAAAAAACGAGACATACTGGTCAAAAACACATAATGCCCTGGATTTTTATTTCATTTTGTGACAATTCAAGAGGATTCTTAGTCTTTCCCGTGTGTGAATGTGTGTGAGTGTGTGTGCGTGTCTCTGTGTGTGTGTATATATAGGAAGGGTCTACAAAAACAAAACAAAAACTCATGAAATCAACTGGGCCATTGGAATGGGCATTGGGATTGTGGTACAGACAAAGAAAAACTACAAGTAGCCTTGTTCAGTACCAAACTCTTCACAGAAGAGAGCAAAGTCTTTTTTTTTTTTTTTTTTTTTTTAAAAGGTTTTTTCTTTTTTTCCCAAATGAAGGCACCCGATAACTTGTGGTTCATGGCCTTTCAGCCTTCTGGAGAGTTTTTAAAAGTAGAGAAAACTTTTTTTTTTTTCAATTAATACATGTTTTCTTCCTTATTATGTAGAAGCTGGAATGATAATAAAATGTCAGTTACTGCATTTTTTTTTTTTTTAAACTCCCTTAAGTTTTTTTTCTTTTTCTTAGATCAACAAGTAACAAAAGAATGAAGTCCTTCATGAGGAAAATTAAAATAAAAAGTGGGAGATACAAAAATATTTATTTTAAAAAATGATAAAAGGAGAGGTGGTTGGAGGGCGGGGTGGATCATAGTTTAGAGAAAACAAACGTAAATAAGGCCGTCTGGTGCAAACCAGAGGCAAAAAAAAAAATCATAAAAAAGCAGCATTAATCAATTAAAAAACAAATTATATAGTGCTTAGATAAGTCAGAAGCAGCAAAGTCTTCTGGGAAAGAGTCTTCATCCCCATTGTTTTGTTACTTGTCTCAGGAATAATATACGTATGGAAGAGCTCTGTGGAAACTGATTAACCCACTGACAAACTGATGCCTACAACAAATTCACACCCGTCGTCGTCGTCTACGGCCCTGCGCCTGAATCTGTGTGAACGCATGTCTCCATGGATTCAACATGACTGACACATGGGGGAACATCGAGGGTGGGGTGGGGGGGGGAGCGCGCCCAACAAAAACGGGCGAGCTCCCGGCCATGTTCACAACATCCCAAACAAAAATAAAAAAAATACATTTTCTTTTATTTTAAATCTAGCTAAACACCGACTATAGCACGGGGGAACCGGTGAGGGGTACAGTGTGTACAAATTTAAAAAAAAAAAAGATTAAAAAATTGAAAAAACATGACTTTGGGGGGGGAAAAAAAAACTTTTGTAAACACGGCACAATAAATAGATCAAACAGCAGGTTTCCGCACCATGCATGTGATGACATACATTTTTCTGTGGTACAACGTTCACACCTCATACTCGCACCAGTTGCAGTTTGTCGTTTACTCTTTTTAATTTAGATTTTCTTTTGTTTTTTTTTTAATATCTCGAGTGCAAAACATCACAAATGAACAATTCTGTATTCAAGTAATGTTATATACAAGAACAGGTGGGTGGGTGGGGGGGCGTGGGGGAAGGGGATATTACAAATATGCAGTACTGTACATATAATTGCCATATTAAGAATTTACAGACGATCTCTTATTAACAGTAACAAATAGGGAAATGGGGGAGGGGGGGGAAATTAAAATTGTACGAGACGAGCATTGCAATTAAGTCCCAAAACAGTTACCATGGAAACCCAGCCTTGCCGTGCTCATTCCGCCACCACTCGCTGTCACGACTAAACAAACGATGCATAGCACCTTAAAAAAAAAAAAAAAATGAACAACCCAACAACAAAAAGGGAGTCACGCCTCCCCCCCCAGTGCTGCGAACGGGAGGCTACGTAACCTCCATGGCCATTGTGTTCTCTGATAGACTGTTCAGTGCTGGCTTGTCTTGTTCGTGATTCTCCCTGCGGACAGAAGAAAAACACAACGCGGTCAGACATAAACGCAAGGAGGACGGTGAAAAACAGTTTTAAATGCTAACTAACGGCCGGTTTCCACTGCAGGAACTTAATCTGGATTCATAGAAACGCTTAGGTACGAGGTGGCGACCGGAACCATTAACTAGGCGACGGTGGGACAAAATTTATAGTTGTACGTAGGCTCGACTTTGGTGGGGTGTTGAGTTCTCTCCTGATTCCGTGTCGTGTTTTCCTCGTTTTGCGTTCATACTTAAGAGAAACGAGCTCTAGATGTCGTCAAAACCAAAAGTGTTACCATCCAAAATAAACAACTAAAAAGGGGTTTCAGTGATGTTTTATTTCCCCCCTTTATAAAAGACATTAAAGTGGAAGCTTTTATGTGGAGCGTCAAGGTAAGGCGGACTGTTTTGGAAGATTTTCTGTATTTAGAGTAACTAAGGATGGGAGACGCAAACTAGCTTCGGTTATAAATCTTTAAATAAATAGATAAAGTGCCAAATTTTAGCTCCAAGAAACTTAAAGCAGAACATCGTTAAATTTCCTGAAGTTCCTGCTGCGGAAAAAAAGCGCTTTAATTGTCACTTTCCATCTTTTCTTCTAGAGATAATTTAACTGAAGCTCTTTTCTCCACGACTAATAAACACAATAAATAAAAACAAAAGTTTATTTTTAATGTTCTTATGTTTAAAACACAATAGGTTCAAGCTTTCATAATACAATCAATGTCGCATTTAAAAACAGCCTTTCCAATTTTGTTTTGGAATATCTCAGTGCAGTGCCAGGTTTCTAACATTTTCTTTTGTGATGTGTTTGTTGGAACAAAGTCTGTCTGTTGAGTATGTAAACAGGTTTCTATCTTATTATATTCAGCACACTTCACTGGGTCTGTCAATCATAAAACATACATCACATCTACAACTATTGTCCCAAACTCCAGATATTTTGAACAGACTATCACAGTCCCCCCCCCATCTTTGTGTCACCCTGTAACGTCCTCACACTGGTCACACGTTCTTCCTCACCTGGGCACTATGTCCAGCGGCGAGGCCGAGGCCGTAGTGACCTTGGGTTTCTGACAGTTGGCGGTTGCGGCGGCTGCGTGGGCGAGCTTTAAGGCGGATGTTGACATGGTGGCGCTCAGCGTCCGGGGGGCGTGGACACGCTTGCCGGTGGGAAGTCCCAGACGGAGGCTGTTGTTGTTTCCCAGCAGGACCTGAGTGGCGGCGGTAGTGGTAGTGGTGTTGGCAGGGTGGGCGGTGCCGTTGTTGTTACTGGTAGCGGAGGTGGAGCTGGTGGTGCAGGGGTGGAGCAAGGCGGGTGTCGGGGTAGTGGTGGGAGGGGACGCTGTGCTCGAGAGGTGCAAGCCCTTGTAGACACCTGGGAGGGGGTCAAAGGAGGCCAGGCGGTGGGACGGGGGGGGGGTGGTTGGTGACAGGGGTGGGAGATGGGATTTGGAGATGGAAGGTTTTAATTATCAACTGTTCTTTAAGGAAAAACCCTGTTATTTATTTTGTTAACTTGAAGCACTGAATGTATGAATGTATTATAAAATAACTCAACTACATAAAATAACTGTTGAGTGTGAAGTGTAATTCTTTACAACCAATTAAAGTAGCTGTTGGGAACGTGTGCTGAGGTTCAAGTGGATGCCACGTCAAAGACTTGAGCACAATATTAAATATCTACAGCGAGGCAGAAGGTCATTTATGAGCTGGATTTATTCCTTTTCACCAGAAATTCCCAAGAAAGTAAGTACTCGAACAAAAAGAGATTTTCTGACTAAGTTTTTATCTCTAAAAAGGACAGATCCTTGATGCACTGTTTTCATCTGCAGAACAATATCAAATGGAAATTCAGTTTTGTCACTTTTCTAAGTTATCTGCTAAATCCTGCTGCCTGAAATGTCATCTGTTGTTGGGGGTTTAGTGCGTGAGGTTTTTTGTTCAGGATGCTTTGTGCCGTTATCTGCTCTTTCAGGGCAACTCCATTATGGGTTTTTAGGACTGTAATTACTTTACTCTCATTGTTTGCTTTGTCTGTTCAGTGTCACTGTTTGCAGCACTTGGGTGAAGTGCACTTTAAAAAAAAAAAAAAACTGAATTGCTTTTTAGTTTCTATAAAACTTCGCAGTTGTGTTATTTTTTTCCCCCAAAACAAATTATATTTTGTGGAGGTAGAAAATTGGGATAAAGTGTAAGAGCATATCTAGACACTAATAAAACCTTCCCAGTGTTGCTTGTGGTTGTAAACAATCAAAATGGTCACCAGACACAAAATAAAAAATGCCGTTAATTATTAAGACCAAGGACTACATCATTAAATAACATAATGAGGATAATTACTAAAGCCATTACTGTGATGGCCAATTTTCTCTTTTTGCATGTGGAGTTCAGAAGAGGGTCAGACTCAATGAAAAGAAGTCACTTTATTTACACAATACAAAATGTTTTTCGGCCGTCTTCTTGTCTCCTCTGTCTCTTTTTCAAAAGCTCAAGTCCGCTGACCGAGCCTAGCAGCCCTACCGGGGTTTTTTTGGAGGGTTGTCATACCTGAGGGGGAGAGGACGCCATTGACTCCGCCTCCCAGGGCTAGCTCCTCCTTGGTTTTAAGAGCCAGCAGTTGGTCGGCGGTGACTACGGCCGAGGCGGCGAACTGAGCGCTGGCCTGGTCTAACGTATTTCCCAGGCCCTGTTGGAGGTGAGGAAAACTGTTTAAAGTCACTGACGAGACGACCACATTCACTTTGTGTCTGAGAGCCTGACGGGACTGTGGGATACTGACGTGTGTGCTGTTTGCAGTGGTGGTGCTGTTGGCTTGCTGTTGCAGCTGGACCTGCTCCAGCTGCTGTTTCTGCATCAGGGCCAGCTGCTCCTGATGCTGCTGGTACTGTTCGGCTGTGAAAGCTGAGGGAGACAAGAGTTCGTTACAAGTCTGGAAATAGATTCGTACCATCATTTACATGTTTGAAATCACACACAGGGTTTCTAATAACCAAATCCATTGAAGGAGTTACAGTCAAATTCCTCTCTATCACACTGTGTGGTTGAGTACGTGTGTCAACCTCTGTGTGTGTGATGAGACGTGGCCCTTAAATACAGCAGCTATTTCTGGCTCTTATTGTTAAGACTGCTTGGCCACACCTGCTGTAGCCTCTTGCAATGTGGCTACCCAGTGGTAACTTTACCGCTCTCTCTTAAAGAGTATCCCACGACAATATCAATATCCTTCCTCGTCTAACACTGTAAACTCTTCAAGACTAGTGGTGGTTCAATGGCTGTGTGCGCCTACCCAATAATGCACAGACACGTTACTTTCATCAACCCACAGCACCCACTCAGTGATGCATTCGTTGATAAAGCAGCCGCCAAGAAAACAGTATCTGACAGGGAAACTACGACCAAGTTCTCATACAACCATGGTGAGGTCTGATAGCTCAAACTGTCACCTGACCATTAACACTTGAGTGTGCTGACGAACGTTACAATCTGAGAAGTTCCTACCATATGCTGTGCAGTCTGAGTATCAGAGCCAAGAGCTTGTAGTCTGCACAGCCTGTTAGAACTAATATAAAACACTAGTATCATCAAGTCTGTACTCAGTGAGAATGAATAAGTGTGTGTTGGGACAACACAGGACAGATGCTCCGGGTGCTTCATCAAATCATAGTGGTGCTTGTCAACTGGTGTGTTTACTTGCACATCAGTAACCAGGTTACTTCAGTTTCAGCCTCCATGACATACTTTTTTTTTTTAAACCAAAGCTGGAATATTTAACTTGGTAGGGAAGAAATCTGCATGCAAACTTGTTTCTGCCATAACCTGGTTTCTCCCAGACATCTGGTTTCTTGTGTGCATGTTTCTGTCCACTCAAGGTCCCTATTTGCATCCCAGCTATTCATCTTGTAAATAACATGGTCTTCAGTCTTTCTTTACTGGCTTTGTATTGATTAGACAGTCCTATTCCCACATTTCAAAGTGTTGCGTGGCCTTGTGCCTCAGAGCAATATTGATTTTCTTATTCCCCGTGAGCCTTTCAGTTTACTACTTCACAAGACGCAGGACTCTCCATCACTCGTTTGAAAACAGCTCGTACTCCCATCTGGAACACGAGTCATGCTTATTTCATGCAATCTGACACCGTCACATTTAATCAAAATACTGCACCCATTAATTACAACCTAGCTTTACGGCCGCTCTCTGCAGACTCAACCCATCTGTGCAGAGGGACTACAGAACCTAAAGGATGTCCTGCTGTCCCGGGGGCAATAAAAATAGCACCTGGGACACTAAAATACAGAGTCTGGGACAGTAGAGAAATATATAATTACAAATTAAATTATTATATTTATGTGAATATATATCATTTTGATTGTTAGGCGTTCACCGGCACACGTACACACACAAAACCAGTAAAGAGAGAGCCAGTGATTTGGTGGCTCTTGCTAGATTTTAATTCATTCACGCTGCTCAGAGTAGTCACAGTCCACGGCTCTTCGGCTGACAGCGCCGGGGTCTCTTCCTCTCCTCTTTGGCCACATTCTCCACATCTCTGGGTTAGGAGGTTCCTATTGCTTAGCCTATAGGTAAATAGTTTGTTTGAGCTTGTAAATATCTCCATTAAATTGGTCTTCTCCCTCCCGTTGTAGATTTGTATCTCAATATTCAATGTAACTGTAGTGAGTTTGTGATAATTTGGCTAAATAAGTATAATAATGTTTGATGTGTGTATGTAAACCTCTATCACCGTATACCAGAAACAGGTTCACATTGGCACTGAACTTTGCAGTGATGCATTTATTGATCAAACAGAAATAACTAAGAAACTAACTCAGAGATATAAGTGCAAGGAACAACTAGCAGAACTTCCATGATGGACCAGAGTGAGTCAATGAAGTGATGAGAGTTTACTGAAACAAAAGATATTAAACTATTCTTATTAAGTAGAATGAAAAAAATACTTCAATTTGGGACAATGGTTGTTAAGTGTTAAGTTGTGAGACACTGAGGGGAAAAAAAGGTTAATTTTAAGCCCTGGACAACTGTAGTGGTCGAGCTCGCTTGTTGATTATATCGGTGTCCTTCACTTTTATTTACGGTACTTCACAGGCAGATTGGTTTCTCAAGAATAAATCACTGGGCAATTGATTGCATGCAAATCAAAAAACACACACACAAACACACACACACACACACACACACACACACCTCCTGTAAACAGCTTGTAGAGACGTCAAGACACCGACCGCCTGACTGCTACCACAGTAACACCACCGGGGACCTGTGGCATTTAGTTTGTATTCAACGCTCCACGCCTCTGCGCCCACACACCCTAACAAATCCTGTGCATCTCATGAATACATTTATCAACCCCGGTCTTAATTGACACCTTGTGGACTGGGTGGGATGGGAGGTGACACAGAGTGAATGCCAAGCAACAGCTGTAAATGATGAACAACAAGAAAACAAAACCCCTTTCACAATGCAGCTGGAGGACAGGGTCAACAACGCTCCTGCAATTAAATAAAATCTCAACTAAGAAGTAATGATCACCAAAAATTAAGCTCACAAAAAGAGAAGAATAAATGGGGGTAAAAGGAAAAAGGAAAGGAGTGTGCATCCTGAGTTTCGTGGATAGTTGCCAATTACTTCTCTGAACTAGCACTCCTCTTTATAAGAGTCCATTCAACCAAAACGCATACGTCTCAACTCTACCCAGCTCTTGTCACACAGATACTTTCTGCTTCATGTGTCCAGGTTTTAACAGATCCTCTACAACACAATCAGGTGGACACTGAATTCCATTCAAGCTGCAAGTATTCAAGAAATATATTTCAAAAACTTAAAAAGAAACTAGTCTTTCCATAATCCACAGACCGTGCAATCCTTCTTACATTGAGGCTACTTTTACAGAGTAATTGTTGGGACATAGTTTCTGGGAAAGAGACACTGCTCACAAATCTTTCAAATGTAATTTTTCAAGGTTTTTCTCAGCACAAAGATGTTTGTATTCACCTCCATCATAGAGCGCTGACAGCAGAAAATTCAGAAGCAGTTATCTCAGCTCTTGGGCAAATAAAAACCCAAACTGTGGGCATCAGGAATTACATGTTTTTAGTAAAATGCTAGTGGCGGGTACATATCCTGGTTTTAATAATATATTTCTGTAATTAAACAAGTCACTCATCATCAACCACCCCAAACTGCCATGAGTGCAAAGTGTCTTTGAAGGAAGACAATACACTTACCAGCAACGGGTGCGGGTACAGGGACAACCCTCGCCGGGCGCTGAGAGCCGTAGGGCTGTCCCCCTGCTGCGGAAGCCAAGACAGGCCGCTTCAGGCCTCGACTCAACTTCCTGAATAGCGGGTGGGCATTGTCCAGCTCATGTAGTGGTAGTGTCCGTGGTCTAAAGTGCCTCCATCGGCACGACTTTATATTCAACAGTATCTGACTGAGGTCCGTGGAAGAGGGAAAGGAAAGAGAGGAGTTGAAGGAGGAGGAACTTCTGTCTGAGGTATTTGTTTCTGAGGTACTGGCAAACTTGTCGGCGGCCGGCGAGCGTGAAGTAGTAGTAGGAGGAGGAGAAGGAGAGGGGGGAAGAGGCAGGTCGAGCATGTCTGTATCCAGTCCGTGGAAAATGTTGTCATAGTCCGTGTACGCCCTGTCCAGCAACACCCTGCGAGAGGAGAGGAGAGGAGAGGAGGAGGTCAGGTATAGTGCTTGGACACCGGGACACTAAACACAGATAACCGGCCTCGTTGTCTGACATTTAACAACGGCTTTGATCTGATGTCTATGTATCAAAGCTTTGTTATTATAGTTCTTGATACTGGAGTAAATAAGAAAACTTGAGTAGCCCGTCCTTTATAGCCAAAGAAATATCTACAGCTACTATGTTCTACAATTGCCAGTAAGATTTTGAATGACCTTCTATACAATAACACAACGATAAAAGAAAAATGCAATTCTCAGAAACAGGTTTTTTAAAACTGACCTGCCGCCTCGTCCCACGCGTCGTCGAGCCATGCCGAGGCAGCGCCGCGGCACGGTGAGCGTGGTGAGACTGTAGCGAAACCGAGCTTCTGCCAAACCGTCCTCCCAGGGTCCACACCATGGCCAGCTACCCACACGATCCTGATGAGCCTGGGAACAGACAGGATGCTCAACGTCACCTTGTTGCATTCTCATCGTCTGATCTTTATGATCTGTGACTGGTTGTTTTTTGTTTTTTTTACCTACTCACTAAAGCAGTCTACTGTGGACTATGAACTTAATGCCTTAAATATTGAGATAATCCTAAAGTCTGTAAACTAAACAGTCCGCTATAAACATAGAGCTCTAAAAACTATAAAAACCTGCTGCACAGACTTTCAATCAGTGCTCCCAAAGAGCGTTTAAAAGCATCTACAACCACTGCTGGGCCACTTAAACAAACCACTGTATGAAAGTAAAGCTCCATTATGCTTTTTTTTATACCAACTGTGTGGATGAACACAGTACTTACAGCGTAGTACTGGCAGCCTGCCTTCCTACGAAAGGCATAGGCACCATCTGGGTCGTTCTCCTCCTCTGCTTCCGAGGAGCCTGAGTGCAGCTGTGGACACAGAGGTTGGAGGTCAGTAAGGTCACTGGAAGAGCAGAATTTATAAACACTGGAGCCAAGGGGTTCTGGTTAAAATGCATATCATACCCACTCGTCTCACGTGGTTGTGCAATTTTGAGTGGATTTATCAGGACAAAGGGCAGAGTGCATTGCCTTTAAAATCACCAACAGTGGAAGTACGGACAGAGTTTGTTGGTGTTTTAAATTTAAGACACTAAATCCCTCTTTAAAAAACGTGTTCAAGGGAGAGTCAGAGAATACTATATATATATATTCTGCAAATAGTTTTATTTTACTCATTTCATATCCTCTCATCTGTTTTAGGCAAAAATTGTATGCAATTTTTCATAGTTCCCTATAATTTGTTGCTAGTAGGAGTTTTAGGTTTCTACTTAGTGGTTGGTTAAAAAAAAAAAAAAAAACACCAAACACTTGCATGAGCTTATCCTGAATTCCATAAACGGACTTATTTCAGCAAACAAACTCAGTGGCCAACTGACTAATGTGTGCAGAGTTTGATGGTCTCCTGTTGTGTTCAAAAACCTTACCTGTTCAGCAAGTTCTTTTATCTTGGCAGTCAACAAATCTTATCAGGACATTTTAGCTGTTGCCACTTTGTTGAAAGCACAATATCAGAATCATGTTCACTTGAACACATGCAGCAAAAACATCTACAAGTGCCGAGCTTCGTCTGCACAGCGTGCTTGGCTTTGCGTGGATGAGTACCTGCGTTTGTACCTGGGAGAAGGGCTCGTCATCCGAACTGGGGAAGTCGTACTGGTTGAGGTCCTTGGCGTTGAAGACAACAGGACCCGCGTGGTGGGGGATGCCCGACGAGAGAGGCAACACCTTCTGCTTCTTCACGTATTGCCTCTTCTGCCGGGGAACTTCCGTCTTCTCGGGCTGAAGGGAGGAAAGAAGAGGTAACTCATGAGAGACATTCAGAGACTTCCGACTACGTGGAATCTTACACGCAGCTTCCCAATATTCCTCATTTAAAATGTGACTTGACAATGTTTGCCTGGAGCATGTCCTTAATATTGAGCCTCACCTTAGACTTATAGTCCTTGAGGTCCATGTGGTCCTGGTGTCGGTACTGGTTGGTGAGGGGGACCAGCGGAATGATCTGCGGCCTCACCAGCGCCCGCTCAGCCAAAACCTCTGCCATCACCTCACCACCAAAGTCTGACATTACATTTCTGGAAAAGAAAAAGGGGGAAAAAGGATGAGCCCAAATAGTTTTTCTCCAATCACAGTCTTGGACTGATCAACAAACCATTTCATTTTCCATTTCAAGTTTTCCCCCTTAAACTACATCAATGAAAGTTCACAAACAAACAGTGATAAATTCCCCACAAATGGAGGGGAAACTTGGCTTTAACTGTTCTTTTATCTTTTATTCCAGTTTTTAACTCTGAGCAGTCTCCCGGGGCTTTCTTTTTCATCATCGCCCTGCTGTCTCCACCCTGCCAGCCTGCTGTCTAACTGCTTTTTGTTTTATTTTCGTACTAACACATTATGTGTGCAGCCCTGGAGGGCAGGCTCACCTCTTCTCAAAGATCTCCAGTGTGAGATGCAGCAGCTCTCTCTTGCTCTTCTCCCTCCTCTTGATCATTTCGAGGATGGTGACTGCTCTGCTGAGATCCCTGCGCAACTTCAGCATCTTCTCATAGGACGCCTCGTCATTCTTACGGTTCTGAGTGTCGCAGGAAGAAAGAGGTATAAGCAAAACTTAATAAGAACAAGCAACATGTAATGATTAGATAAACATGTATAAAGTTATTTGAAACAAAGCAAACAGGTTACTAAAGATAATAAAGTTAATATAAAAGGCTAAATTCTTTAAATGCTTGGTGGCATGTACATCCTTTACAAGAGGGTTGAGAGAAAACTATTTTTATATAGTCCATTTTTGTATTGTGTTCAGCAGCGTAGTGCTATTTAATAAAATAATCAATATAAAATGTATTTAAAATCTATTTTTAAGACGTGCAGGGTTTTTAATCGGACTCTGATCTCAGGTCCATCATGGCATTATTAAAACAGTAACAGACTTTAACTGTATATGGATTCAAACATCTGTGATCAGGGACTTAAGTCTCTTTCTAAATGAACCGTAAGCACCTTCATCAGTCACCATTTCACAGAGAAGCTCAGCTTGCCGAGCAGTAAGCAGACCAAATCTCACACTCACCCTTTAAATTAATTCTGTAGGGACAAACCGCAGCTGCACAGGCTGTCTGACACAAAGCTATGTGCTGACACAACACACAAAGTAAAGTAAGACGCTGCTCATTGAACGCGGTTGCAGCGTCTGACAGCATTCTTCTTTTTGTCAGGGTCGGGTACTCTTGAGTCTATTCTCTCTACATCACAGGTTAGTCAGGTACGGTGTTTACAATACGGCAAACCGGATCAAGATAATCTGGCCAAGCTTCACAAAAGACAGTGGCACAGTGAAACGTAATGACTGTGTGAAACTAAATGTTTCTTGCGACAAGGTATGAGAATGCATTTCCTTGTCCCTAATGGCAGTCGTACAACTACTGACGGCATATCCAGACAGAGGGGTGTATCCGTCATGAACTGCCAAGATCACAGCCACATACAAACAGCCAATAAAGCAGAGTGCAAAGACACCAACCTTCCTGGTTTGCATCTTCTCAGTGCGCCGTCGGAAGGCCACATAGGGGTCACTGGTGCTGGAGCCGTCCCGTTTCTCCTGCTTGACGGTCGGGATGAGAGAGTTGGCCTTGCTGTTTTTCCTCTTGCGGCTCCAGTAGTCAAAGACCTCCTTGATGAGCTCGTCGTCCTCCTTCAGCAGCAGTTTGGCCTCCGGGAGGCTCACCAGCTACGAAGTACAGACAGGGGTTACAATTTGATAAATAAGATGCGTTTACGCGGCGGTGGGGGTGACAAATCTGTTATGACAGGCTTTTTTTTTTTTTTTTTTTGCTCAGACTGTCTTACCATAAATGGTTTCAAATTTGTGTTACCAACTATTTAATGTAGGTATCACCATTTTTCAAAAGCTCATTGTGCATAGGTCTGTAAGGTATTTCATGGCCTTTCTCTACGGCTGGCATTGTTTTGGGGGCAGATGGAGACACAAACAGTGCCGACCTGCTGTCCACTGCCTTTCTCCAGCCGGTCAATCATCTCCTCAAACTGCAGGAAGCTGATCTCCATCTTCTTTTTCAGCTTGTTGACAAACGCATCGTCGTCCGAGTCCAGGTCGTAGTCGGGCTGCTCTGTGTCCAAGCTGAAAGCTGCAGGGAGGTCGAGAAAGGGAAACTTTAGACACTGATAGATGAGTCTATTAGGAGAAGCAAATAAAAACTTAGTTATGGATAAAGAGATCAATACAATAACTCATCAACTGGCCATCAAATGTCTTTTCTAAGTAAGTTGTGTTGTGTGTTGCTTCTTTAAAAAAAAATCAACTCTAAACTCCCTTGTTTCTATATTTTGGTAATGTTCACTTCCTCTTCTTCCGGTCTTTTGTAATCCCCATGTTTAGATAAGCATTTGGTGGATATGCCCTCATGTTCTCAACACTGTTCAACACTACTGTGTTCAGCTTATCCATGATCACGGATACTGGCATGTGTGGGGAACGTACATGTTAGTCCAGATGGATCCATTCAAATGTTAATGATTAGGAATGAAGATAAAAATTGGGGGGGAAACAAGACAAACAATTAGGATTTCTTTTGACTTGCAACTTCAAAGCGATCGAGTGAACATGACCTCTCTACTCAAGACTCCACAGCAAGCTGCAGCCAAAAGTCAAAATGCAGCTTAATTGGTCTGGTAATGATGGAAGGCACCGCATGCAGCATTACAAATCATCATCTAGTCAGTTTCCAGCAGAGTTTACTTAACGGCACTGCTGAACAATCGCTCTGAAACACCAAACGCAGACTTCTTCATTAAGGAGATGCAGCATCGCAAACACCAAAAAAACTCACTTCAATCCCTTCGAATTACAGAAGAACGAGAGAGAGAAATCATTTGTGTGTGCAGGCAACAGCAGCAATCCAGCCACAATCTGCTTTTACAAGCCAGTTAGACTCCAGAAAGAGACGGGTCCTGACAGGTAATGACAGGTTGTGTGTCTGTTATATACAAATGGTTGCTCGGCTCGGCTGTCGAGGCCACTCTATACCCGCAAGTGTATTTCAGCATCAGTTTGTTTACTTCCAAGTCCCCACAGCCAATGTACAAAAGAGATGTATGCAGTACATCCTCGACTCTGTAACACGGCGCCCACCACAGAGGGCAAGGTTACCTCCTACACAGCGGGCTGAATTTAGAATACATCATTTAATGATTAAGTATTTTAATGACAGCTAAGATCAAAACGCAACCCGGACAGAAGAAAAATTCCTACGCAACAAAATAAAGTCTAAGCATAACATTTCAACATTTAACTGCTAGACCGCTCACGTACACTGACTAGCTAAACCGTCCCTCTACTACAACCCCACAACGAGGAGCGAGCGGTTTTTGTGAGAAGAATAAAAACCAGAGTTGGATCCGTCTGCTCTGATCAAAACAAAAGCAGCGGCTGGAGTGAGTAAGAGACAGCTGAGAACGTTTCTATAATGCTGAACAAATGATGAAAACTAATGCAATGAAACAGTGGAGGTCAGGAGAGGCGACGTTACCAGCCATATTAATACAGACCATGTAAAAACAACGACACAATCTGACCACGCCACCCAGCAGGCTGCGTCAACTACAGTATCCAAAGTCAAAACAGAGCGTAGCTTTATCCTCAAATGTCTTAACTCCTTTAAACTTGATGCAGCTACTTTCTACAGAAGATGTATGACCCTACAGGACTAATAGCCCACAGTTAACTGCAATAAATACATGCTTTTAGAGGACAGCTCACCCAGCATCTGTTGGATCTTTAGGTTAGGGACACATTAGATGATTATCAGGCCTAATTACAGCAGATCTGCCCTTCCAGACAACTGAAGCCATAAAGGAGTGACTGGAGCTAATGGACTCAGTATAGAATATGTTGCATGGAGTTTGGTACATTAAGTCACGTCCAACCTCAGTAACTCACTGACCTGACACTTTATCAGACAATTTAATGGAGTCTGCATTTATGTGTACATGAAAGCCAAATAATGAACACTGAATACTTCTGCAGGTCAAAAAGATACATCAGTATAATTTTATCTGAAGCATAAAAATGTGACTCTCTGGCCTTTCCTAATCGTCTAGTATGAGCATATTTCTAACTCCAGAGACAAAAAAAAAAACTCAGTAAAAGCTCCCCACTCACTTCTGGTTTAGCTTTTCAGGACTTCTAGTTTGTCTCAAGCCTCAGTGACCGGTCAGACTGCCATGTCAAACCATGTCAGGCTAATTCAAATTCAGAAAAACACGTTTCCTTTCTGCCTCGAAACTCACAGCCAGCGGCACGTTTGTGTTTTAATTCAGCAGCAAGAACAGCCGCCACATCTGCCAAAATCAAATTAACCTGGCCTGCGTCAGACACGCACAGCTTCTGCACTTAACGTTTAGAGAGCAAACAATGTACAGACGCAAGTATTTGCCGCTTTATCTTTAGAAACGATACCTCAGTCCAGGTTTAATTAAAGCAAGTCACTTTCATATTGAGCTGCAATCAAGGCGAGACTGGGTACAGCAGAGGGATGTGTTATTGACAAAAAACTAAAACAGAAAGCTCACCGGGGAAATTATATAAGATTAAGGCGAATTTTCACTTTTTAAATCTCAATATTCTTGTGAAGAAGAAGTCTTGTTTCTTCACTGGATTTACAGATTTTTGCTACATCAACTGTCACCTTGTACAATGAGAATAAAACATACAGCTACACAAAGCTACTCACAAGTAAACAGACATCTACTTGTTACATTTCTTTAGATATTACAAACAAAACACTAAACCTTCCAGTCCTGATAATCTCCACACGTTTCAGACTGTCTAGACCTCCGAGGAAACCCTGAAATGAGTCCGACAGCAATTTGACAGGACGAAACATTTGTCATTTGAGCTTTCAACTGATAGCAGCAGTCTCTGTTTAGGATACGGCAAATTGCTTTCCTTTGAGAAACAATCACGGCAACCACTTGTGACACAGACATGGTTACTGGACTAAGCAATCTAACAGACTCATTTTCTTTTGATATCATTACTGAACCAGGCAATCTCGCAAACTCATTTACTTTGACAAACATATGACAACTCAGTCAAAGGCTCATAACACACACATGCCTGATGCCATTACATGGATGAAAAGCTGTCAGAAACAGACCTCCTGTACCACCTATGAGCTTCTGAGTCACTTAATGGATTCAATGCTTTATCGGCTTTTACGCGGCCTACTTAGACAAGTTCCCATAGCCGGGAAACATCTTGATTACCCGCTTCACTTTTAATGCCACATGGGTTTAAATGCAATTTCAGATAACTTTTTCCCCCCAGTTAAGAGCGTTCTGTTGGAAACTACCATAAGCCTGAGCATAATATGCATGATACAGGCCTAAAGTGGTGTTTACAAATAGAAAAAGCTTAAAAAAAAAAAAAAAAAAGGTACACTAATGTGGAATATTTTACAAATTGCCACTTAAACTTGATCAACAGTCCCCAAGTGTCATTTAATGCATTCAAAATAATTGACTGGGAAACTCCAACACAACCTAATAAACAACCAAGGCCCCTAATCTGCCACATCGAACTCATTTTCTCTGCTTTCCGCATCACATTTGCCATTAGAGAAGCCCACTTACGCTGTATGTGAATTAGCTGCTTTGGCATCTTGTAGTCCCCAGGGTAGAGGGATTCATAGTAGGTGATGTTGCTCTCTGCCTCGGGGACCGGGATGACCATGTTGTCCCGCTTCTCGCCATATACCTGCTGCGCCGAGATGGCCCGCTGGAGATGGTGTTCCTACAGAGAGAAAGACAAGAGGTGAGACACCTGGACCACTGAGGATGTATGTCCTCTTACTAGAGATTATATATATAAAAAAAAATAAAAAAAACTGGGGCTGAAAATCATACAAACAAAATGATTTAAAAACACAAGAGGTCTTGAAACCATCAGGCTCATATGAAGGTAACATACTGGATTTAAAAAAAAGGCCACACAGCTCAAAGAAAAACTGATATCAAGGCAACAAAAAAAAGAGTTTAGAGGCAATAGGAGATGGCAAAGTCTTCTAAAGCTAAGTTCAGTCAGACACATTTGCACCAAACAACCGACAACTGAAAGAAAATGATTGGATCTGGTAGAAAAGTCTGCTCTCTCAAGAAATTCAAGCAACAAAAAACAGCATATAGAAAGGCAATTCATAAAACAGCTTCACCATTACATAGTTTGTCCACCAAAGAGCACTGACAGGTTTATTTTCAACTGTAAAATGTCCTGTTTACTACGCCTCTTGGTCACAATAAAAAAAAGGGGGATAAAAGTTGTTTGTTTATGCGTTTGTTAAAAAGAAATATTCTCTATATATCGTTATCAGCTTTTAATCTTTTTTAGTTCCCTCGAATCGATATCGGCCTCAAACCTGCAGTGATAGACCGGGCTGTGCCGTAGACCTCCGCAGATATGACTGGATGTCACTAGTCAGCTAAAAGCCACACGACTGAATGAGCAAGTGATTTTAAAGCATGAATGAAAAAGCTGATGCTAATCAGCGAGCATGACTGAACTAATGCTGAGCTCCATTAATCCGTGCGCTGCAGCAGCTTGATTTGGTTCAAACTGACATAAAAAGTCTTAACGGGTACCTGTTTATATTCCAGTTATACAGTGACAGCAAACCCTAACCTGTATGACATTTAATTCTGATGCCACAATATCTACAATGAGAGTTTAGTAAATGCTGAACAGCTTTGGTACTTTAAAAAGCAATAGCCAAAAAAAAATAATAAATAAACAATGCAAGAAAACTATTCCAACAGGGCACAACTTAAGACCTATTTGTGAAGCAATTGCGACAACCTGTTGCCAAACTGACAACATAATATCAAGCCTTTTGTTCTGCTGGGGGAATAACACGCTGACTCATGCAGATACAAGTTAAATGTACACCTGCAAACAGAGTTGTGGGAGGAAAACTTGACGATTATCCAGTCACACATTGTCTTACTGTCTTGGTGCCAAACGTTTCACAGTATATGAAAAAAAAAAAAAAAAAAAAACCTTTACAGGACGACAAACGACACTGCCAGGTGAAACAGAACCAACACATTTCATGCCAATCCACACTGCCAGACACGTAGCTTTGAATATTTAATCTTCTGTTTAAAACTAAATATACACGCATTTATAAAGCCTTTGGTTTATATACGTGAACATGTGATAGGATGATATGTAAACGCCGGACAGAGACAAATCTAAACCTGCCATCCAATCACCATCATCAAATATGGAGGGAAACTTGACTCTGATTTTGTCTCCGACGCTGTGTCAGTTGGCCTTATCTACCCGCCGCGAGTGTGACGAGAGCCTGCTGCTGCCAAGCCTGCTGAGGGGTAATGTGCCTGAAGGAAAGCAGACAGGCTGGATGGGCTGACTAACTGGTTTGCTGGCTGGGCTTGCTCGTCTGAACCGTCCCAGTCAGACGTAGTAGCAGAGCCTTTCTGGCCTAGAGCCGGGCGCTGAGCCACGAGCAGGCGGGTCTGTCAACAACGCAGCGTGCTGCCGGCCTCGTACAGCCGCTCTCTAGAGGGAAGGTGTGTGTTTATTGTTTCCTTGCGGCTGTCAGAGACACAAGGGTAGAGGACGGAGGGCGGAGGGAGAGGAATATCTGTGCCTGGGGACGGTAGCCAGAGTGAGTGAGTCAAAAAGGCGGCGAGTGTGACACTGAGCACTAAACAACCACTGTAAGTCAGCCATGGCACAGTCACTGTTGTGTAATGAACAAACCTTGAGGAGGATCCACATTAGCAATATATCCTCTTAAAATAAAAAAAACAGTGATGTGAGCATTTACACTGCATATATAATGCAGCTCTACCAGCTATGTCTTCATCTCATATGCAAGCATCTGTCCACGGTCAGCCCCAGTGTGACTTCTATAATGAAGATTCATTCCTCTGGTGGTTGCAGGACATCAACTGCAGCAGTACACTGAATTCACAAGCAGGGTTGGGAGAGTATGTGTGATTTAATATATCATACTTTATCAGATGAACCATAGTTATATAAAATACCAACGTGAGACTGTCAGTGTTTGGAAAGTCTGGTGAGTTAGACCCCACAAGAGAGATTATGGTGCCTCATTACTTAAATGCCAAAAAAAACCACATGTATCTGTATAAAATGACAAAACCCCTGCTTCAACATTTATATAAGCTGGTTTTATAGGTCATTTTTTAACAGCTTAGTGCTTAAAGTCAGCTGGAACTTTTAATTCAAGCTTCTCCTGGCACACAACAGCCAGAAGGAAAGGCTGACGGCTTATTATACCGGCAACCTAAGGACGGCAAACTGTTCCCACTGGGTTAAATAAGACAAGTGTGCAGCTTCTCAGGAAGACATCAAGCAAAACTGAAGTTGACCGCTGCTGAACACGGATCAATTTGTGCCTTTAAAAGAATAAAAACGGCACAAACAGGCGAGCTTTTCAACGCTACAAGCTTTTCTACCAGAGGGTCCTTGACACAGAGACCTTTGCAGGCACAAAGCAGCGTTGTACTGCATTCAGTGCAGGCTTTACTCTTCCATCGTCTTTATAGTCATGTATTATTTCATAAAGTAACACTGCATTCAGACTGGAAAAGCAGGTTTTCCATCTACTAACCAAGACTGAAGAACGTGGCCAAATCATTACAATCGATTAATGTTTCCTATCCAACTTGATGGATCGAGGTAATGCTCGTTAAATAAAAACAGCATGAGAACACACACACACACACACACACACACACATTATTAAATGAGAGTCCAGTTTGTGAAAAGTCTAATTTCTGAAAGGTTTTAATCAGCGTTCGTTACTAACTGACAATAAATGTATCACAGCAACTCAATCTTGGTCACCAATCATTTCACAGTGGAAGTAACCTGCCAAAAAGAAAACTTTATTACGTGTGACCTTCAGTACACCATCATGTTTAACATTTTCAGTCTACTGTATGAAACTCCTTTATTGTGTCCCACAGCGCTTTGTACATCAACACCATTCGGACTTTTGTGGCCAACAATCTGCTCCACAGTCTGTTACGCCCGAGGCAAGTGATAGTAATTTACATTTATAGCGCCACGTGCTCCGGCGACGCAGCTACTCCCTCGGCTTAAGAAGTTGCTGTGGACGAGCCTCGTCAGTTTTATTCTCAGCGCTTCCTCCTAAAAGGTGTCTCAAAACCTCGTACACATTTAACCTACCCATAGCATTTGCTGTGACCTCCCACTGTGCACGTACTCTTGCATAACCTGCAGATTCCTACCCGATTCCCACTGAATCGTTCTGCCAGCGAACGCCTGAACCCCCCCCCCCCCCTTGCTTTAACTCCCCCGGGGCGTCTCTGCAATGAAGGAGGGGGGGGGGGCCTCATGAAATCAAACAGCCTTTAGCAAAAACACGTTGGTTGCCAAACCTAATCAAGCAATGTGTTTGTTTACTTTCCTGGCCGTGGCTATTTGCCCGAGAATAAATGGACTTAGATTGAGGTTGAACAGTCAGAATACAGAGCATTAGCTGGTTCCCCTCGCACACTATTTCTTTCCCTTTTTTCCACCTCTTGGTCTCGCTGTCTCACACATACACACAGGAGTCCAGAAATAGCCTTCTAAAATGACCACATCGATCACTGTCAAGTCTGCTGAGGCAGCCGGAGCCGCCTCCACATACACCAGTCTCGCTGCTGACAGCTACTGTCCCAGACACTGTAAATGCCACTTAACATGACGGACAGACGCAGGGGGGGATGGTCGGTAGGGCTGTCGAGGGATGCATAGCTACGGGGGGAAAGGGATTCTTAACACCCAGCGTAAGTGCGGTGGGAAACTTTCCATTCCTCGAATTAATGCGGCTGTGTAAAATAAGATACAAGCAACTGACTGAGGCAAAAAAAATACATTCCTCATAACTTTAACGTGGCCCTACTATTGCATAATGATTAAGTGGAACCAATTAATCACAATCAGGGAACACCCAGCGTCATCCATCCACGGGTTACTGGAAAAAGCCTGAATTCACAGGTCATTCTCAGAAGTTGCTCTAGCTGAGTCTTGCTGGCAAACTCGCTATGGAGTTGGACTCGAGAACCTGCCTTGAGGCTGGTGTTTATTTCCCACGCTACCCCCCCCCCAAACACACACACGTCACAGCGAAACTGTCAACAGTAAGGGGGGGGGGGACAGCTGACAATGGCAACTTTCAATTTCACAGTGTGCAGGCTGTAGAGACTTTGGACAGGTGACATAACCCACATTCCCCCCGAGCAAGGTCACACAGTAAGAAAGTGCTGGCCTGCCAGAGTGTGTGTGTGTGTGTGTGTGTGCTGTGCGCAAGTACAAGTACTGTGTCTGGCAAAGAGGCAAACACAACAGATGCCTGTGGGTTCGCACCAGGGCCGCAGACACTGACCTCACTTTCACCCAAACGTAAACACAAGACAAAGTGTCTGGCCCAAAACAAACAAGCTGCACGTGCTTCGGGACTTACAGCGATGACAACTCTACGGTCGGGCCACGCTACACACACACACACACACGCCGCCTGCAAATTACAAAACCACATGCTGGACCGAGCTAACCATTTTTTAAAAAGGCAAGTCCAGCAGTGACAAGAGAAAGCAAGCGTGTGGTCTCGTGTTCGAGGGCTAAATGTGGCACACAGAAAGTCCTGCAAGTCGTCCGCTGGGGTTCAGAAGCTCGCTCTTAAAAGCTGTTGATTTAGCAGAGAGTCAGAAAGTACCGGGACACCACACAATCATCCTGCAGACCACTTAACATCGAGTGGGTAGTCGATGTGGTCGGCAAGCTCAGAGGATGAAGCGTATCTCCAGGAACGCCAGGAACTTTACTTCCCTGCAAAAGAGTGGAGAATCGGGGATGCGATTCCCAGCTGGAGGCCCACGAAGACCCAGAACGACATGCACTTGCAGTAAACGCCACCACACCTTGCTGACAGAGTCACAGAGGGAATGAGCTACAGTATCTAACCAACAACACCTCACGTAGAAACTCATAAAAACAGACAGCTCCAAACACTGAGCGGTCGGCACATAGCGGGCCTCGGCCTACCTCCCTGATAATATGACTGTTACATAACCAAGCACTCCAGCTGAGCAGAGCACAGACTTTGAAGTGACAGCAGACCAAACCCTCTCCTCTCCCCCCCCCTCCTCTCTCTCTCTCTCTGCTTCCTTCTGCTCTGATCTCCTCCTGAGCGCCACGTGCCGCTTGGTCTGCCAGCCTGCTGTGCGATCTGACACACTGAACCCCTGACACCTCCACGAGAGAGCAGGCCGACCGGTGAATAACAGCAGCGTCCACCGCAGACGTCCCTGGTGATACACCCCCCCCTATTTACTGACCCTTATATTTAAACATCAGTCAGGTCAGCCACAAAACTCACAGGGAAAGACAATTTCTTGCTCAGGAGGACCCAGAATAAGATAGTCTAATAAATAAACATGAAAAGTATGTGAGCATGTGAAATCTAGTTTATAAACAACCCAACCCCCTTACATCCGACAGATAACCTGGGGTATAACCAGGAGCAGGATGCAGACTTTGTTTATGTGTATATGTCCTCCTCCCTAACTAAGTTGTTAAAATACTAAACAACAACAAAAAAGGCTATGACAGCTGGTAGAGCGTGGCAAATTATTGATTTTTAAAAATGTACAAGCGGTTATGATTTAATGTTCTTATCCGGGGGGAAAAAAAAAATCAAATGTCAACAGTGGAAACCCAGAGAGACGGTTATTGCAGTGACAACACTACAAACAAACAAACTACCACGTCCCCTTAGAGAGGTGAACAGACGGAGGATAGTGGCGTAGAGATTAATTAACACACCTCACTGACAGCTACACAAACACCATTAAAGCCCAGTTACTGTCCAAACAATGGTTTTATTTAGTGAATGACAACAGCTGCTTTATAAATATATAAATATAAAAATATATAAAGAGGGGGGGAAGGATCACAGACCACACGCCTCCATGCAAATAAAACATAAAGAGCTGAATCGTGTGTGCACAATAACAAAGTCCTAATAAACAACTGTGCACACACACACACACACACACACACACCACCAGATCCTGTTTAAGATGACCAGACTGGAGTTTGCCCTCAATGCATGGCACCGGTGTTGACATTTCTGTCTGGTAGTAGCACAGATGCCACATATAATCTGAAATCACTAGCTCCCCCTTGCCCTGGTGCTTTGTAATTACGCCAACACAAGGCCCCTGTTCCTGGTCGACGAGACAAAATGTCGGATTTGCTGAAGTCACATGACTCCTTTGTACTCGGGAACGCACCTCACGCATCAACAACCCGGTCGAACCGGGTAATTTCACCACATAACGACACAGTGTGTCCCCACTTCCCCCAAACGCCCGTTCAAGTCTCACAAATGCGCCGTTCGCGATATAAATCCGTCGTGTTTCTCCAGAGAGAGAGAAAAAATTGGCGGCCATTTTGTGAAAGCTGCGCAGGAGGAAAAAAAAAAAAAAAAAAAAAAAAAAGAGAGAGAGGGCGCCTGTGTTTTTTTTTTTTTTTTTTTTTTTTGTAAAACAAATAAAAACAATATATTTTCACAAATTTCTCGGACGGTTAAAAAAAAAAAAGCATACCGATTCCTCTTCTTTCTCCATCCCCGTGGGCATCTGCGGCACGGCTCGGTTAATGGATGCATATTCGTGTAGGTCGGGTAAATCCTCACAACGGAAGACGGGTAGAGGCTTGGAAGCGTCCAGCGCCCGCGCCCGAAACGACAGTTTACTCATTATTTCACAATACGATAATCAATATAAATCTATCGGATCTCCTAATAATCACACCGGTACCGAGTGGAGCTTTCATGGATGTTTCTTGTGCGGTTTTTCTCTACTCTAACGTACGAGTGGTGGTAGCTTGTATTTAGGGCGTCGCCAACGGAGCCGGGGGAAGGCCCGGATCTTGGTCGCTCTCTCTCGGACTGTTTTTTTCCGACGCTCCGCTCCCTATCGTTGGTTCAGTGCGCCATGGACAACATGGCGGACATTTAAAACTCTTTTGCTGTGTTTCGCTCGGAGCGGTCCAACCCCCAGTTCGCGGACCGACCATTCCCACACGATCCCGAGCGCTTGCGCGTTGCGGGGGTGGGGGGAAGGGGGCTGTGTGTGTTTTTTTTTTTTCTTTCTTGCAAACTAACTCTTGTACACACATTGCACATAAATTATTGAAGTAAACATTAAAAAAAAGGGGGGGAATGGCCGAAATATAAGTTGTTATGATTTAAAAAAAAATAACTTAAAATAATGCTTGGTGTGTTAATGAAACTGTTTAAATACTTAAATTGATGCATTTAAAAGTGACATATATTATATAATAATATAAACACAAATAGACTAGATTTATGAATGAAAAAGTGATTCACATGACAGCAATAACAAAAAGTTTGGATTAATGTCATCATTTTGACAAAGCAAATTATTGAAATAAACATTATGATGATTAAAAAATAAAATAATACTTGATATATTAATGAAACTGTTTAAATAAAATAAATAAATTGATGCATTACAAAACATGAAATTACTTAATGAAAATTATTAATAGAAGCCAAAATAGACTAATTAATGGATTTATGAATAAAAAAACGTGTATAACAATAAAAAAAGTTAGAATTAATGTCATAATTTTGACAAAGCAAATTATTGAAATAAACATAAGGCCGACATATACATTAAAAAATAAACTTAAAATAATGCTTGATAGATTAATGAAACCATTTAAATAAAATAAATAAATTGATGCATAAAAAAAAAAAACACACACAAATAACATATTAAATGACTTAATGAAAATTATTAATAGAAGCCAAAATAGACTAATTAATGGATTTATGAATAAAAAAACGTGTATAACAATAAAAAAAAGTTATAATTAATGTCACAATTTTGTGTGATTGAGTGATAATGGCATCACTTATTTAACATTTGGTGTTGTTAATTTACAATTATTGGCTGTGCAGTTTGAATAAATAAAATATCAATAACATTATATTTGTTTTCACCAGACCTTTTTAAATAATGAGAAATCATAGCGCAAAGTTTTTTTCAGTTGTACTGAACTTTTTAGACATGCATTAATATTATAAAAGGATATTTAAAGTTGGTTTAATAACAGGACGCCTTTAGGAAATACTGTATAACTACCCTGAAATGCCATCAGTAAAAAGATTATCCCAGATTATCATCTTTTATTCTAAACTATTCCTAGTTTTAGTAAAATACAACAATACTCTTAAGATTGATTTCATGGTAGTTGGTGTTGGAGGAACAAAACTCCTTTAAAAAAAAGGACACAAATTCCACATTATCCACTAAAAGCCAACGCCTAAAACACCACAGAAGTAGCCGTTCCAGCTAACTGACCCACAGGAATTACTCAGATGCAGTAAACCTTATCTAGCACATAACAGCCCACTTTAAATTTAAAAAAAAAAGAAAGAAAAAGAAAGTTTATTCCAGGTAAAAAGGCTTCCTGGGGCAACACGCATCACAAACAAGAACAATGTCGCCCTCTTCTGGTCTGACAGGACACCGACATGTTTGTAGTACAAAGACACACACTGAACACACTTTACCTAAAATATGGACAATAACACTACAGCTCTGTGAGGGTATCAGTCTGGGTGTAACTTCAGTGCTTCCAGGTTAGCCCCCCCCAACCCATAACCCAGTGGATTTTGGTCTTTGTTTGCCACACAACAACTTTATAATGTTTAGCAGGGGTCAGAATAATGTTTGAACAATCATTAAAAGCACCTTACCTGTTGACGACATTGGGTTCAGCCAGGATCCTCCCAGGGGAACCGAGGTTTTCTCTCCATCATTAAATCCACCGACTGCATCATGAGGACCTGGAGGCCAATCGACACGAGCAACAAGGACATTTAGCCCCAAAAAACTAGTTTTAAAAAAAGGGACACGAAGCCTTACAAACACAGACCAAGTGGCGCGAAAGTCAGATTAAATAAAGAAACTTTTTCCACGTTGTTAATTAAAAAGGCGGTTTAGGAGAGGGGTTGGTCTGGGCGGAGCAAAGACAAAACATTTGCCCCACCACCTGATCATAATTGTCAGCAGTGCCGCCTGGTCTGACCCTCCAACTACCACACCTGGGTGTGCTCATGGGGATCGACCCTGTGGACAGTGAATTCATATTAAAAACAGCATTTATTCTGTTTGCAACCTCCACCTAACTTTTCACCATTCCTCCTCCATCTTGGAAAAAATAAAATATCAATATTTCTCTCAAAAAAAAATCTGCAGCGTCAATGTGAGGGGAGAAGGGACACAAACATTTGATGCCAATTAAGAAACAAGTTCTGGATGAGAGGGAAGTTGGTAATTGGAAAAATGTGAGGAGAAAAAGGGGATCAGGCGAGTGCCTTGTATCCGGAATTTACAACATATTTACAAGTTCGGTTTCCACAGATATTGAAGGACATAAGATGACCTGGTAACTCATTGATGTATGTGCGGTCAATTTGTCCAGTATTTTATTTGAGTTAACACACTGAAATAAGATGCTGGACATGGTAAAAACTTATGGTCCATTTTATATGTTAGGGTTGAGCCCCTGCCCTTAAGACCTTAACATTGGATTGTATATTTTTGAGTCCTATAAAAAAGGGTCTTATCAACCCAGTTCTACTTGTTATACATTGCGATGCACTCTCTTGCGATATTCAGGAGGTAAACTTTCCTTCAGTTGCCACGAGCTTCTGGCATTTGTTTACGTTTCTGTGTGTTAAAAATACGAAGAATCGACACGTCTGCTTAATTCTGTGTAATCGGATTATATAAAGCAGTGACTATAATATCGAAACCTGCTTTTAGAAAACATGTCTTCTCCTTTCAGAGGGTTGTGTTCCTCTTTAGTTACACTGATATTAACGCTGTGTTGTAGACGAATGCCTTCAAAAAGTTACCAGACAAACTATTAATTAGACTAAAAAAAATCATCGGAGTCTGAGGCCTCCGTGTAAAGCATGTAGATAGTTTGAAGGTTTTTAAGACATCATCTTCCAGGACCTTTTCCAGGAGTTTTCTTGACATTACAGGACAGCACTTGCACACAAACAGTCATATAATTTAACGGTAGGACTTATATTTACAGTTATATTCCTCCTTTTTACCCTTATGAGTGACTCAGGTTAGGATCAGACATGTTAGGCTCGCTTTTCCACAGCCAACTTCTCTAAATAAACTACGGTTTACCTCCAATCCAGATAGGGCTGTAAGTACAATTACACTCTCCCAGGACAACATAGATTATGTACATGATATTTGGTCCTTTTAAATCAATTTCCAGGTATTACAGGGTGCGTGGGAACCCGGTTATAGGCCGTCACCACCTAACAAACAGCACTTTGACACCTCACATACTCTGTGCTGGCCTGCTTACGTCCCATGTGGGTGGGGTTTGTCCCACGATACTGAAAAGAGTTTACACAATCACAGGAAACACAATTTATTGTTCTTTTTTTTCTGATTTACAGCCTGTGACCCCGGACCCCCCCCCGTCTGACATCCTCAGCAGTTTCTAACCCAGAATTATGATCCGATGACAGAACTACAACCACTGCGAGACACACATGAGGCAGGTCCTCCACACTTCATCTTTAAAGGGAGGCTCGAATCTGTTACTACAGTCTTCCCCCCTTTTTTTTGAGTCCATGTAGGGAGAGGTGGGTGTTTGAAGGGGGGAGGAGGAGGAAGGAGGTGGGGGGGAGAAACTACTGTGGATTACAGCAGAAAACGTAGGGGATATGAGGGATCCAGACCCATGCAGGCCAGGGCCAAGCAGTTCCCGGTCGGACCACAGGGACTGCCTGGCACTGTTTAGCCTGTGATCCAACAATGTCACATTTCCAACCAATATATGAAAAAAAGAGAAGATGAAATCATCTCAAAATGACCTTTATCGCCCTCCTTGCTCATGTTTTCTCTCCACATGATCTGAGATCAGGTTTCTAAGACATGTTGCCTTTAATGCAACAACCAGTGAACTAGATTTTTTGGTTTTTGCACAACACACACACACACACACACACACACACACACACAAAAAGAATACTTCCTTTTGCTTAAAAAAAAAAAAATCGATCGATATCACAACCTCCTCCTCCCTATCGAGGGGGCTGACAAAGTGATCAGGAACTTGTGGTTTTTTTTTTTGTTTTTTTTGTTTGTTTGTTTTAGTGCTGAATTGCATCCAGCTGACCAGCCAGGAATTTGATTGCGTGTATGAAATCATCTGATGCCAGAAACACTATTCACGATGGGGCCTTTTCTTTTTTTTTTTTTGTTTTTTTTTTTTTTTGGCGACCATCGATTCAAGTGAAATATATATTGATATATAAATAAAAAAAAAAAAAAAAAAGAAACATTTAGTAGCAAATACTCACCAAGAGTCGGATCATCCAGGCACACGTCGGGGGCTTTTACAGACAGATGGAGACAACATTTCTGCAAGTCAGAAAAAAAAAAAAAAAAAAAAAAAAAAAACGTCAGGGCAACACGACGCAGCGAGCTCACAGAGAGAGAGCCAACTAACATTAACGTTAACCACAGATAACGTTATCTTCTTGTTGGTTTTATAACGATATATATATATATATATAAATATATATATATATATATAGATAGATATAGATATATAAAATAGAGCCGGTATCCTCGCAGGAAGAGCCGCTGTCCCCGCTTTTACATCCAACCTCGTCCAAACAGCGGTTATCGGTCGATGAAGAGGAGAAAAAGTCAGTGTTGTTTTTTTGTTTTTTTTTTTTGCTGGTTGTCGATGTTTAAAGCGAGCTGAAACTAGAGAGGTGGCGACCAAAGTGCTACTGTTGGGGGTTAACAACTTTGCTGTAAAACGCGGCCGGTGATTGGTCGGCCGAGGCCACCAATCACCTGCGGGAGAGCCCGGGGATTGTGGCGTCACGTCGCAACGCGGGGACGTGATTGGCTGATGGTGTCACGGTGAAAGAGTGTGAGGCTCTTTAGCTGTTTAAAGTCACATTTTTTAATTTTTATTATTTAATTTTAAAAAAAAATCAATTTGTTTGTCGTTTTAAAAACCTTCATTTCAGTTTACAGGAGGAGCTGTCGCCTCTTTGTGTGGTTTTGTGTCTGTTTTGAGTGAGACACAATCCAAGCACCACCTCAATGTTAGTTTAATTCAGTTTTATTCCACTTTATTATTATGTATTCTTCCAAGTTTGCTATAAAAAGAGAAACACATCTAGTTGGACGGACACCAGAAAACATAAAAAGCTTATCAGTGTGTTCCTGTTTTGAGATGGACGACTTTAAATACTCAAAAGATGCCGGTATAAGATGAGCTATATATCTCAGATGTGAGCTGTAACTGAACCGACTAAACCAAAACCAGAATTATTAATCAACAATTAAAAGACCTAACACAACAAACACACTGAGCTATTTGTGGCTGAAAGATTTTCTCTCTTTCATCCACGTCTTTATAGAGTTTTAATATTACAGATTGAATCTAATAAAGCTGAGACTAAGTACGGTTAACATTTGTTTTGTCCCTCCAGTAAAGTTTTTCAAATGTCACCTACATTCGGTCCTCATCGAGTTGTGTGGACATCCTGGTACGTGTAAACAAAATCTTTGGGATTTTAATAACTTTTTTTGTTCCATACACGAGCAAATACAGATTTAACTCTTTCTGACAATTCCTCTGGTTTTAGATGAGCTCACAGTTTCCAGTGTGTGCGTCAGTGAGGATGAGGAAGGTATGAATCAACAGCCAAGCTTGGTCAGTTGTCTTCTGTTCGTTCACATTCAAACATTCCTGCACACGGAGACACTGAACACACCACGACAACAGTAACTGCACAATAACATCGTTACAATATCGGGGTAAAATTGTTTTCAATGTTTATTCAATAAATAATTTCAGAATTACAGAATTGCAAATGTGAATGTGTTGAAATTAAAAAAAAAAAAGGCACTTAAAAACAACGGTGACGTGTGAACCTTTTTTTTTTTTTTTCCTTCTACAAAAACCTAAAAACTTTAGAGATCTAGAGATCATTCCCTTACCAATGATTTTTAAAACTGAATGACATTATCACCATTTCTTCTCAATAAAAAAAAAGTTTGATCGAGGCACCACAAAAAGAGAGACGGGTGGAATTACTGACGTATAGAAAAACAGTCGGACCCCAATGTCCAATTCATATCCTACAAACAAAACAAAGACATTTCAATATAAGCAGATTTAGTTAGCAAATAAGGCAGGTTTGCATGTATTTGGCATTGCTGTGAAGAATTAAGGACCTGAGTTGGCTTTAAATTAAGTAAAAAACCTGGAGCCAAACAGTAATACTACTGTACACGGATGTCCTTTAATCTAGAAAGGCAGCGCAAGAAAATATCTTTTCTAGACAAAAGATAAATTTGAACTGATTGTTCAGGTGGATTAAAAGTCACTCAGAAAAAAAAAAAAAAAAAAAGCCTTCAATTCTTTCCTGTGAATACATATATGGCTTAACACAGAAACCAAAACATACTGTACACATTTCACTGCTACCGCACTCGGCCGACTGGCGCTACATTTGAAGAGTTTCCATCCAGAGACATTTAGAGACACCTACTCAGTCGACATGATAACAGACGCTTTAAGACCTTCGCTCAGACGGTGAAATCAATCTTGAGCTCACCTTTGTTTCTCAGACACTGACTGTTTGGAAAGGAACTCTTCATTTGTTGCCTATTATCAACGTCCAACTCAACTCTCGACAAAACACTGATGGCTTTATGTTTCTATATATATAAAAAAAAAAGGCACAGCTAGGCTTTCTGTTAACGTGGCCGAAATCAGTTCAACACATTCTCTCAAGTTTCGGCAAAAATAAAACAAACCCCACATTTATACAGACTGTACAGGATTTCAGATGATGCATAGAAAATAAACACAAGTTAGTAAAAACAAACTGAAATAGTGGCAAAATGCATTGCTATCATTTGGTGACTACAACAAACAAAAAAACAAACAAACAAACAGTGAGAGCATTAGAAAAACCCGCCCGTCCTTTGACCCCCGGCCCATATTCTGTTCCATACAGTGTTCTCACAGCGAAGGCAAAGCTCCATCATTTGCCCTCGTACTTTGGATTGATGACAGTTGTTACGGCACTTTTGTAGATTGGATTCTCACCCTGAGAGAGAAACAGAGAACGACAAGAGTGAGTGCAACACCTAAATGGAGTGAGCAGGTTAATCAATCACAGCACGTCACGTCACAATGACACAATTTAAATACCAATAAACTCACGATCTTAAGACTAAGTTATGTGGTGTAACAGCAAACGAGCGCGCGGCCACGCTGTCTGCCTCTCCCAGGAGGGCGCAGTTCGGTCAAACACGCTATCTCAAGTGCAGTGAGTGGTTTGTCACCGTTGCCGTGGTTTTAGCAGCTTCGGTCTGACTGCTGCAGTCGACTGTCGAGTGTCAGGCTGCCACTCTCGTCTCCTCTAGTCCTTAACTACCACAATCTGTACACACTCTCTCCCAGCGTCACCTGCCCCCCAGGCGGTGACGCTGAAGTGGTGTCGTAGTGTTGTAAGAAAAAGTACGGCGGGGGCAGACACTGTACGGATTCTGCCCAGTTACACAGTCCTGGACTGGGCCTACTTCAGAACTGGGATTGGCCGTATGATGTGCAGTTTGAGATCACAACGGTTGATTCACGGCCTGAACGATCAACGGTGAGAGGAGTTTCTGGCTCTGCAGTTTGAGAAGCTCCGCGGTCCGACTTCCCTCACGGCTTCTGTCTAAAGATCTGTTATAAACCGTAGTGAGTTTGTTTTAATATTATTGGAGTAGTATTTCTACACGTTGTGGATACAACTGTAGTTTTAACTGAACCTCACCACAGAACAGACAGACCATACTGTCAGCCTCTTCCAGATAACAGCAGCTCCGTATTGTTGTTTTTCTCCTCTCACTTCCGGCTCATAATAGAATTGCTGCCTGTTTCTCTTTCTGTCAACACTGAGGATGCGGCTGTCTTGTTTGAATAAACTTTATAGCAATTGTGACTGGGCAAAACAGATTGAGGGGGGTTCCATGTTTACATTCAGTGTGAGAGAGCCACGTCGCAGCCGGTCCACTGATCCGTACTGTGTGAGCATAAAAAGTGATTCATACGTGGAGTGATCATCATTAAAAACGCAGTGTCTGTACAGCTTTAGAGCATTTATACACACTGACATTGAATCTCTGCATTGTTGAAATAGTACTGAAGTTGTCCTTGTGCTTTTAACAACATATTGCCCACTTTATATTTATATTTTTTTAAATTCAAGAGCATTTCACCAAAGCTGAGACAACATAAATCAGCATTCTTTAATTCTCAGAGTCAGAGAGCTGTTCAGTAAGTAGTGGTTATCAACTACTAATGACAGTAAGGCAACGTAATACCCAACAGTTTGCTGTTTACAGTGATTATGATGGAGGAGGGAGGTACAGAGCAACAACTGTCAGCAGTATCACAGTCTCCATAATCACAGAGATTGATGTTTTTGAACAGTTACAAACACTAAATAAATGATTTTCCTCCTCAGGGTAGTGTAACCAGATGGTAAGGTTAAACTCAAGATATTTAAAATAATGCTTTTATTATATGTATATGCATATACTGTTGTTGCCCTGTGAACAGCATGCAGTTCACTTTTCATGAAACAGCCCTGTTTTCAGCTGTATATTTTTAGATGACAATGAAGATGATTTAGCCCGAGAAGAAGGAAGGAACATTTAATCCTTCACTATCTGGGAAATTCAGATATCACCAAATTTGGGAGGTACACGTATTCACTGGACGGCGATGTATAGTGCATGAACATAGGGAGTGGGATCTAACTGAGAGCAAAAAGGTTCAAATAAATTAAATTACTGTCACTATTGTTAATCGTTAGGTTGTTGCCATGAACGGTTGGTCAGCAACATCAAGGAAAAAGCCCAACCGATTGCACCAACTTCAGTTAATGGACACTGGTGGATAAGCATGCTAATGTCACAACATGCAGTCACCAAACCAGCCTTACATAAAGTCAGTAAAACTGCACTCTGCACAAACAAAGTGCATGCAAGTTCACAACAGGTGATATACCAACTTTGACTTAAAGAGCAGTGGCTTTATTCCCATAGCTGGGATTCTGGAACTGGTTAATGGGACTCTTGTAAATGGGGTTCCCTTGCTAACATGGAGAAGGAAAAAGGGGAGATGAAAAAGGGAGAAACAGAAGAAAAAGAAATGAAGAAAAGCAGAAAACCAACATTAGTCAGAAGGAAAATGTTCAGCACAGAGCAGAAAAGGTAAGAAAGAGATTTCTTATAGTAACTAATTATTGTTGTGTTTTTTTTCCCATGCTCGTAATGATATGTTCTCAGTATGCCAAGGAAATTACTACCCAGATTCCTTTTCTGTTGCGAGTCTGTTGTAGTAGAAGTTATTTATTATTTTCTCTAATGTGTGATTTGTAATATTTCAGTGTTTTTACAGTTAATCTGCCACAAACACTGCCTGGGATTCCTCTCAACAGTCCATAAACACTGCTGCTGTGACTTCCACACGGGGAGCAGTAATGGAGCTTTCCATCAGTGGTCACCCAGCAGCAGTCCTCCCTCTTTGTCTGCTCCATTGCCTTTTATGGTGGTGCAGTTGTACAGTGTGGACAGCGAGAGGCAGCACTGTCAGCTGAGGGGAGGGACACTCCCTCAGCGGATAAAGACTAATAAAAAGCTGCATGGAAGCTGATCAAGGACAGAGTGAGGGCACCAGAGCTGAAGGTGTTGTCCCGATCAAGGATCCTCCACCAT